AGAAAATTAACTCTATCCCAGCCGAAACCAGGACAATACCCCATGTACTTGCTTTTAATACAGACAGGTTTTAAATGATCAGTATGTACAAGATTGTGTTTGATATTAAATACTACATTAATAGAAATTAATAGTTTATTCTGTAGTTCTCCCTGTGACACTTCAGGATAAGGTCTGTCTGAAGTAATAACTGTGCAAAGGATACTTAAGTATGTTGGAGGGGAAACGCTCACTTGACTTGTAGGTAGGATAAACGTCACTGATACTTTAGCCTGGTTTAGTAGGCAACATCAGCTCAAGAATTAGGTATGTTTACTTGGCCTGGTGTTTGTTGAGTCAGGGTGTTCATACTGACCAGTTGACATAACTGTCATTTCGAACCAAGTGCAGCCAGTATTTGGGGGATATTGTTGGAGGATTTAGGGAGAGTGCAGGGGACATTGGAGGTAACATTTAGAACACAGACTAAACTTCATTTGTTCCACTGTTCATGAGGTAATGTAGAGGCAGAAAAACATCAAATTGAGTAAAAGTTGGCGAGAATAGGGGTTCAGGTAGAATTCTTTATTTCTTACTTCTCTCTTCCACCCTGTTCTCTACAAAACAGAGTTAAAAATTGACGTAGGTATATTGACTTTTATTTTACAATTTAGCTTTAGTCATTATCAATGTTTGAAATAAAACTTGTGTCACATATTAAGATAATTTGTGTTTATTTTGGCTAAAATACTGGATATAAATGTTAAGGCATACATCTAAATTTCTCAAGCAAATTGCCTGTAAAGCAGCAGTTAAATCCCTCCTCACTCAAGCGCTACAGCTAAATGTTTAAGGTTTGGGTACAATTGATCAGCTGTGGTACTACTGGTCCTTAGATGTCTCAGTTCCGTTAAAACTGCCAGTTCTACCACCAAACAATATTTATTGTAGCATTAATTCTGAGAGGTTTCCTAGGAAAAAATATCCCCCTGCCCCTCCGTGCAGCTGTGTAGTCTGTTCTGCTGCTGATGGTGTGAGTTGATGGCTGTCCTTTGGGCTGGTATCAGTTCTGAAGGCAGTCTGTCTCCTCCCACCTGTCTGTCTCCCCTTGCCCACGCTGCCACCTTCCTTGTGCGGCCCCAGAGTTTGTGCAGCAGCGTGGTGAGCTGGTCAGCCTTCTGCTAACCCAACAGCATCAAAGTTCTTGGCTACAGGTGTTTTCTCTATTTGTTTCTCTGCCTGGCTACAAAATTTGTTGTACTAATTGAAGAGAAACTGTAATTTAGGGAGAGGAGCAAACAGACTGAGGCAAGCCTGCTGTTTTTGATGAGCTTGTGTGCATTTATGTATTTGTTACATAGCTAAGAGGATATCTAGTGAGATTCTGTGTGTTTGCAAAGTGTTCTCATGCTAAAAATCACATGAATTATAAACTACTGAGTGGTGTTTAGTTTAAATCAGTCCTGCATTGTTCTTGAGATTTTCACTGTGTAATCTTGGCAAAATGTTAGGAGTGACACTGAGCGCAAGTAGAGAGAATATAGACTAACATGATTACACTGCTGTCTTTTGATTTCTTACAGCCTCTTGTTCGTAAGCTGAGAGTGACAGATGGCGACAATTAAATTTTTCGAGGCTGTTCTGTGGTACAGCTATGAGCAAAGCTCTAGGAGAGATGTATGCAGTATGTCAGCTAGATTTGAGTAGTGTTTTCTGGCAATAAAAAATAATTAGAACTGAAAATTTGTGGATTATATTCCAAATTCTGGATAAGGTACTCCAGTCTTACAGATGTTTTTGCCATCATTGGTTTTTTCCCTCTGTGAAGTAATTCAGAGGGGATGGGGCTTCAGAAAAGGAAAAGAATATCATGATTGTACATAATCTTGGAAGGCTGGAGATGCAAATGGGATTAAGTAAGACATTGCTTGTTACACAAAGGGAGAAGTTGCATTAAAATTCTTGATAAAGAATCATTGGAATCATTTAGGTTGGAAAAGACCCTTAAGATCATTGAGTCAAACTGTAAACCTAACACTACCAAGTCCATCACTAAACTATGTCCCTAAGCACCACGTCTACACATCTTTTAAAAATACCTCCAGGGAAGGTGACTCAGATAAGTAATGACATAAAAGGAAAAGAAACAATAAAAAGCCAAAATAATTTCACTTAGCAGTAATTATGGAAGAGCTACATCTTTGTATTTTTTTCATGTAGAATGGTTTGGATCCTAATTAGAGCAGCTTCTGATAACTGCAGTGAGAGGAATCCAGGAAATATATTCCTAAGAAAGTGAATGCTTAAGTCTTAACATCACAATATGTTGGTGATTTGTCAAGTTGTAACCATCATAAGTTATTTTCTGCTCTTTGACCATTCTCTCTATTTGTGGCAAAATTTCTGGTATTTCTGACCTGTGCAATTATTACTCACCTACAGCAGTTGAAGTAGTCTGCTGTCCTGGGTTGTTGACCTTTCTGTGCTCCTAGACAAGCAGTATGTTCTCTCTTGAGCAGCTGTAGTTCATGGCCCAGGTAATTAATAGTAACTGAGATGAACTGAGCTGGGTTGTGGACTGCAGCAGCTGATGTATTCCTGAGGAGAACAAGCCTGATCTGAAGTTGGTAACCCTGACCAGAGGGGTGGCTTGGCATGTGGAGATGGCAGCCTCCTCAGCCACTAACGCTGAGCCTAACTGAGATTGCAAATTAGTCTTTTTAAACAGTTGAAAGGCAGTTGCAAAGTGTTTGAGAGCACTCAAGTTGTTTGGTCTCAAAGCTGATTTTTTTTTCTTCTTTTTTTCCTCTCTGATGCTTATTTTACCTAGGATAGAGAATTCTAGGAGCAGACAGCTTAGGTGATTACCTACACTATCTGGACGGCAAGAAGACTTCAAGCTTTATTATCCCCATACCTTACAGTATCTTTTCTTTTTGTATTTCCTCATCTGAAGTATTGCACTCAAGTTTAAATTTAATACTATTGCAGCACACATGACTAAAATAATTAATTTGGGTCTACAAAACATGGAAATTACCTGAAATACTTTGCATTTTCTGAACTTTTAAAAATAGTTATGTTCGCTCTGGGTTTTTTTGAAGGTTTGCTTTTCTGCAGTTTTTGTTATCTTTGTAAAATCTTCTACATTGACTTACACATAGTTTCAGAACACAAAAGGAAAAACTAAACTTTATTTTTATTACTTACAGTATTTAAACTTTTGAAGCCATGGGAGTAAAGGTCCAGAGACCTCGTTGCTTTTTTGACATAGCCATCAACAATGTACCTGGTAAGAAAATTAAAATATCCATTCAGTAACATGATATTCATATAAAATACCTAAGAATAATACAAATACCAGTCAACTTCATAATAAATACGGCTTTTTTTTCTAGCTGGAAGAGTGGTCTTTGAACTGTTTTCAGATGTGTGTCCAAAGACATGTGAGAATTTTCGCTGCCTTTGCACAGGTTTGTAGATTTTTAATTTTATTTATAATTTTTAATGTAATACCTTGTTAGCTAGTCTGATGTCTGTGTTATTTTTCCTGACATTTTCTTACATATAAAAATAAGTATGTGAAACATTGGTTCTTGGTATCTCTAGAGGTTTAGCTGATTTCACATATACATCTGATATAGAATCAAAGCAGTTGTAGCTTTGGCTTAGTGTGTTGCAGGGAGTATATACTAATCAACTTTAAATACGGACACAGTAAGCTGATTTTCTGTTACTAGCATAGATATTACTGTTCACATTATATAACATTATCCAGTCTTGAAAGGTAGCCAATAGGAGGTCAACCATGCAGACTTGCTTTTCAGTCTTATGATACTTTGAGGTATTTTATGATACTTTTGAGGTATTTGAAAGGTATTGCTGGTATTCATTAGTATTATTTTTTTCTTCATTTTAATTTTTCTTTGTTGATGGAGACTGGTGGTTTCCACTCCTATTGAAATTCAGATTATTTCTTGAACAAAATACTGAGAAGATTCTCTCCTGGAAGCATTTCCAAACAGAATTATTGTCCTGTGGACTGCATGGTTTTGTTGAAAATGCTGACAGTTTAGCAAAATTTAAATTTATTATCACAAGAATAATTTTGTGAATACATAAATAGCATACCTGCTTTCTGTCTTCAGCATTTTCTGCTTCTTTTCCTTCCAGCTCTGTTGCTTTTCAGATCAAGGCTCTGTAGCTGTTAATACTGAATCATGCAGCAGTGCTAATATAATCTGAATCAGGTGTTGGTGCATAATTACATACATTCATGTCGAGTTAGCTAGAACACTTAGTGCACCATTCATGATGTCTGCAGGAATGTGGGTATTATCTGATCTGGCATTGGGTTTACTGGCACAAAATCATATTATCAAAACTTGTTAACAAATTTGAACCTTAAAGTGATTCTTTTTAATGTCTGTGAGTATCTTACCATGTGACCATGGAATTCTTGATCTGCTATCAACTACCCAAAAGTCAGATTTATTGCATAAAGGTGTTATTCCCTGCCACTGCTTAAAATTTTTGGCTTGAAGTCTTTCAACAGCATTTCAGGTCAGGAGCAAGTATTGCTAAGTTCATATGTAGTTACTGACATTCAAAATCAAATTCAGGTGCTCAACTACTTTGCTGCTTTAAAGGATTTAAGAAAAATGAGGAAAATGTATGGGCAAAGTGTTTATGATATTGATCATCAGAAAATTAATTCAAATTTTGATTTTATTTGTTTTCCTTACCCATTATTTTTTTTCAGGCAGTTTTGAAAAGTATATGCTGTCTTCTTAAAACAGGGATCAACAGCTCTGTGTTTTCCTGGCATACCTATGTTAGGCATATGCCAAGTTAGTGGAACAGATAGAGCTTTACACTCATCAAAGTTCCTGTCAGAAGTGTTTTTTCTAGCTAGTTGGATCCATATGGAGGCACCAGTCTGTTACAGATAAGTTCAGAGGCAACTGCCCGTGACAAAACCTGCCAGTTAAATAGCTCAGAATAAGATTATAGGAAGATACAGTCCAATGGTTTGCCAGCACTGAGAGGAAGAGATCCTTTTCCTTCCCACATGCTGCCACTGTTTACCTTACTGTTACCTTGAGGTTAGCTCTGCCATTCACAGGACCCACCATGAGCCATTCATCTCACTAACTCAACAGAGACTTTATCTGTTTGAGGGTAGCAGGGAAAGTAGATAGTGGTGTAGTTGAAGCAGAGTCTGCTTATGGGTCTTGAGCACCAGAGCTGATGTAAAGGAGGAATGTGGCAGTTGTGATCATGAATGGGGCAGGGAACGAGATTCCTTTTCCTTCCCCCTGCCTCTTTGTTTTTGTAATGAGCTTTTATGGTACCTTTACCTTGCCATGTTGTAACTGAAGATCTGAGTGTTTCTTGGATGCTTCTGAGCAATGCCTATTTTTTTAAACTGGCTGTTTAATTTCAGTCAGTCTGCATGGAAGAGACCCGTGTTGTATACTGATGTCAGTAAGGAGTTCTTCTGGTATAACTGTAGAGACAGAAGGTAGTTTCTGCTCTGCTTTCTTAAATGCTAGCTTCTTACTGGTATTACAGGTATGTGTCTGCCTCACAAGCTAATTTTTCAGAGCTTAGTAGATGATTTTGATTACGTGCTTACTTTTTTGTAGTGGAGATTCTACAGGTACAGAGAATAATTTTGGGTTTTGTTCCTCCTCTTCTTTAGGTGAAAAGGGTACAGGAAAATCCACCCAAAAGCCATTGCATTACAAAAGTTGTCTGTTTCACAGGGTTGTGAAAGATTTTATGATCCAAGGAGGTGACTTCAGTGAAGGTATGATGTGGATCTTTGAAGAATTTAATGCCTATGTAATAGAATATTGCAGGAGTTCTGTGTAGCATCATTTACTTATAAATTAGTCTATGATTCAACTGCTTTTCTTCCCTTTTCTCTGCATAAAGATCTTTAAATGAAAACGTATATAATAAACTTCTATAAACTTATACATGTGCATGCACACACACACACTTTTGCTCCATTATCTCAGTACTTGGTACTTTTCTATTGAAAGGCTTAAATGTGAGGGTAAAATATTATATCTGCTGCTGGGAAATAAAGTAAAAAGGGAGACTGTAGCAAAATACATGGGAGAATACTTCCTTGTTTTCCAAGTTTGCTTTGGGACTACAAAGATGCATCTTGATCTTCTTTTCATATCTTGAAGAATAATGTCAATGACTTGGATGCAGTTGGATTGGTATATCATGTTATGAAGCACCTTCCACATACGTGACTCTCTTAATCACTGCTTTAAGTTGTAATTGTCACTTTTCCTCTTTCAAGGAAATGGCAGGGGAGGAGAATCCATTTATGGTGGCTTTTTTGAAGGTAAGAATTTTATCAGTCTGCTTTATTTTGGTGTTACTATAAGCAATCACCTTCACATTCTGTAGTCTCTGTTCTGTAAACCTGAACTCCATTGGTTTTTTTTAAGATTTTATGTGGTCTTAGAGGCTTTTGACTGTCTGGTTTAGGTTATTTTATTTTGCTTTTACAATAGGAACCTTTTTAATTAATGAAAAATTAAAACAACTCCTTTGTATTTGTCTGTTTTACCAGATCTACATTTTTATAACTGTTTTTAAACATACGCTTTTTGGCTTGAGCAGCTGGCTAAAAGCTGGGAATTGTCTTTTCCAGTGAAAAAGAGAAAGGCATGATGGAGTCAAGTTTTCTTGCAAATATTTATTCAAAAGAAAGCATAAAGCCCTGCATTCCTGAACCCAAGAGGAATTAATGATAAAGAGGCCATCAGTTTTCTCACAGTCCTGGTTCTTTTTCAGTCAGTGTTGCAGAAGTACCTCTGCCGCACTCCAGTGTGTTTCCCAGCCTGTATTTGTCCAGAATGTAGTGGAGCATCTCTGTGATTCTTGGGGCAGTTTTTCTGTTACACCTAAACCCATGTGATGGCTAGGTGCCACCAGCAGGAGTGGTTATGCTCCTCCCTCCTCCCTGCCACTTTTCTTTTAACGTTGGTCCTTGTCTGAGCTTGCAGCAAACAATCCAAAGAATTATTCACTATTTCAGTAGGGCCAGGCTGCAATTTGATGTCAGACCTTGAGTTCAGTCAACAGTTTGCAACTGCCAAAAGAGGGAGAAGGTCTTAGCTTGCACTGACTCTCATTCAGATCAAACTTCCAGCTGATTTATCTTGCTAAAATGCCCAAAGACTATCGCAGCAAAAAAAATTATTTCCATATTAGTGAGTGGACCCAATTCAATGATTTGGCAAGCATCGGAACCAACACAAAGGAGCAGCTGGGTTTGAGGAAACGTATGGTTGGGGAGATGGAAGAAGGAGCAAAACCTCTGCCTACTTTCTGGCAGTTGCAAACTGGCTGTTCAACTCAGCCACAGTATGAAACTGAATTTGTGGGAGTTTTTGGTTTTGTGGATCCCTTCACCAACTCACCATAGGATTAGATTGATGCTATGCCAGATCGCAATTGTACAGGTGACTGGAGAGTGGGTGGCACTGTCCCTTTCGCTGCCAGTGACAGTGTGATGTGAAACCATAGCCTTACAGATAGTGTACTTTTCTTCTTTGTTAAGCTTGCTCCTGCTATCTGTATCTAAACAATACTGAGCAAGCTTCCTCTGTCTGAAGAATTTGGATCCCCCAACAGCCTTTATGCTGTTTTGGGAAAGGAGGGAGATAAGACATCTTCAAGAGATAATCCTAAATGAAGAACAGTGATTACATTTCACGGTTTCATTGGGATTTAGTTTGAACTGTTACAATGATTTGCTCACCAGAAGTAGGATTCATTCAAGTTAAGCTTACTTTCTTAATGGCCAGCTTGGTAAGTTCATCTGTGTGTCTGACAAGACAAACAGAAGTTGTTTGGGATTGCTATCAAACTGGATATCCATGTGTATTAAAAAATAACAAAACAACAAAACTGCCTGAAAATGAGGAGTTTCGTAATAGTTAATGCACAGCTAAAAAACTACTTCTGCTCCAAAGAGACAATGATCAGCATGTGCAGAATAGGAAGAGCAACAACTTAAAATTATGAGGTCTGTGCTAATGTTGGCAAGAAACAAATCTCTTGAACAAGAACACTCAATTTTTTAGCTTTTTCTCAGGCTATAAACCATTAATTCATATTTCTCCTTATTAAATTGCATTATTTAGAATGGAAGGAATAATATATTCAAAATAGCTATTATTTTGAATATATTTTTAATACAACTTTTTATTGAAGTGACTAGCAGATTTATTTAATAAGGATGAGTTTACTTAGATTGTAGCATTTATCTAAGCATATGCGGTCTATTTAAAGTAACTGAAAACACTTTCTTTAGATGAAAGCTTTGCTGTAAAGCACAACAAAGAATTTCTCCTTTCAATGGCTAACCGAGGGAAAGATACAAATGGTTCACAGTTCTTTATGTAAGTATTCTACTGTACTGAAATGTGTGTGTGGTTTGCCATTTGTAAGCTGTAAAGGCAATCCTTTTAAATATTGGAGACTAGCTCCTGTGCAAACCCAGAGTTGATGGTTTTTTACAAAGTTGCATGCAAGTAGCCGTTTTCCTAATGCGCTGTTTAGGTAGCCTGACTATTTTTATCACTTTTGTGTTCAGTGCTTATTGCCTGTGCAAAAGAGCTTTCGGTAGTTTTCAGTAGCTGTGTTATAACTTGGGCAATAAAGCAAACCTGTTAGTTCTTTGTAGAACACTTACCACTTTCTTCTAGTAAGTGTTGTCTGGAAGGAAGCAAAACAGCTCTGGGAGTTCTCAGAAGTAGCAGAGGGAGGTTTTTTTGTCACAAACTAACTTTCCAATGCAGTCACATTCACAGTTAAAACTTAAATTCTTAAAATACATTGCAGTAGGCTCTTCTTAAATCTAATTTAGCTACAGAAAACACTCTTGAAATACGTCACTCTTACCCATGTTTCATGACCTTAATTAACATGGTGAGTTGTGTATGTCACTTACTATTAGACCCTTATTTTGGGATTTCTGACTGATCATTACTGTAATTATCTTAGTTTTTTACTTCTGCCATGGCTGACATCCATATGCCTTAGTAATGCTAGAATAGGGGAAAGCTGAAAGTCAGTTCTACTTCTATGTCAAATAATCTGTACATACAGATTTTTTTTTTCTTCCTTTGATTTCTAATAATTTTCTAATATATAGAGGGTTATTTGCAGTTTTCCTGCTCCGAGACAGTTACCTTAATTTTTATATCTGTTCCTGGTGGTATTTATATAATTTAATAAAAAGAATACTTATTATATCCCATATGCGGATACTGTCTAAAAACTTGTGCACTTTTGTTCAGTAAAATGTGATAATCAAAGTAATGAATTGAATAGGTATTTTAATGTATAAAACATTAAATACTTTTAACTGCACACAAACGTAGAATAATATATATTGGCTTTGTTCAGTTTTATTAGTTCACTCAAAATGACTTTCACCTTCATATGTGTGTATGACATGCTTCAAATGCTGACTGCTTTCCACTAATACTGACTTTGTTTTTCTCTTTAAATTAAAATCTGGAAACAACAGAACAACTAAACCTACACCTCACTTAGATGGGTAAATATATCTTATCTTCTTATGTTTGTTTGGGAACTGCCTTGAGAAAATTAAGTACTAAGAATTCTTTTGTGTAAATTCTTCAGGCATCATGTTGTTTTTGGACAAGTCATCTCAGGTCAGGAAGTTGTGAGAGAAATAGAAAACCAGAAAACAGATGCATCTAGTAAACCATATGCTGAAGTACGCATACTGAGTTGTGGAGAGTTAATTCCAAAATCCAAAGGTAAAGTTGAATTGTATGTTTACATAGATGCAAACTATGAGGTAATTTTGCTCATTTTCTTCCCTGCTGTTTGCTTATAAAAATGTGTAGAAACTTATCTGTGATGGATGGAGGGGCAGTTGGTGGAAAGGTGAATAACATTGCAGTACAGTCTGTCTTTTAAAAAACTTAAAAGGTGTTGATGCAGAAGACATTAAAGAAATATCATATATGCTTTCTTCAAAGCTTCTCCTGTCTTCGATTTCCTTACACTAGCTAAATTTTAGTACAAAGCTGACAAGCACTCGTCCCATAGAAAGTAGAGTGCTATGTTAAGAAGACTGATGGCAGTCTGATTTTATTTGATAACTGCTACTTTTCTTGCAGGTATTGAACTGACTTCAAGTTTCTTTTAGGTAAATCTTCACAACAGGCACTTAAGAGTAGAAAATTGCCTGGAATTGCCCTTTAGCAAACACCCTTTTTAAGTTACTATAAACTATATTCTTAAACAGGAATATGACAGAACCTGCCTTTCTTTCTGGAAGGGATGCCCTGCTCTGCCATTCCAGAGCTGAACATGGTATTGGAGATTGGATTCTGCTTCTTTTACAAAATCAGGCTTGATCTAAGATGTTGCTGTCACTCTGGAGAATCTCGTTAGAGGAAACCCAGGATGCATATTTGGTAGGAAATGTGATAGGGATCATCATGCTTTTTCATTTGTAGCATCTTCTGCTGATACATGCTGTGAAGGGTTGCACCAAGGATATTGAAGCACAAGATAAGAATAATTGTTTCTTTGGCCTACAGAAAATACAGGCATTCAAACTTGAACTGCTCAGTTTTTCCTCTCCTTTTTGATAGAGTTCTGTGTTCACCTGTTGTGATGTCTAGCAGAATGAATTTAGAGTCTGAAGTGATCTCTTCAGTATCTCAGAATTCCAAGCAAAGTTATCTCATGGCTCCTGACTTCTCAAAGGTTCTAGAACTTCTTAGATTAACTCATAAGTCACCCTGTGTGTTAGGACATAATTTTGTTTTTCTGGACAGTACTCGGGAGCATGGTATCTGTTGGAAAATGCATGGGTGGCGTAGATTAGAAAATAAATAAAACAATACAGTTATAGGATGGGTGAAGGTAGAGGGTGAGATACCCACACTGTATTTATGTCTTCCTTGGTTTGCCACGCTCCCTTTTTAGTCCGTTTTAGAACACCTGAAATTGAATGACTAAATGAAAATTTTGGCACTGAGCAGTCTGATGACTTAAAGTCATTAGGCAGGACTTTAAAATACTTGTCCTCAAAAGAGTGAATAAAATAAATACAAAACTTTTTTTTTTTTCCTTTAACTTCACCTAAAAGAGAACAGGCTTCTGGAAAGATCTGACTGTCTGGTCCTACCCATTTGTCTGTGTCCCTGTACCTGTTCGCCTCAGTACTGCTGGGGTCCTGGAGAGTCTGCTTCCTGTAGCTGGTCTGGTGCACCACGGAGGGAAGTTGATGCCAGGGCAATGGGATAGCCCACTCAACTGACTGTAAGGCACAGTACTAGATAGTGGTGGGCAGCAGGAGTGTTTGGAGAACAAGAGGCCTTAGCACCGGGATTGGGCAGGTGGAGGGCAGAGCTGAGTGCAGGGGGATGTGCACCCTAATGGGCACTAATGCAGAGCCAGCCTGATGAAGGTGCTGCCTGACAGACCATGATGGAGATCCTGGTGAGTGGAGAATTCTGCTGTTGAAAGCAAAAGGCTGTCTGTAGGACCTGCAAAGGGAAATCTGCTGCTACCATGAGAGATGATAGCATGGCTGGAGCTGTTTGCTAAATGCACAACATGGAACCACTTATGAGCTGTGCTGACCTGAGGCAGTGGAGATAGGAGGAACAGTTTGTCATCACATTAGCAGAAGGAAATTTGCCAAGCTGCAGTCCAGAGCTGACAGGTGGAGCAGGAGAGGCCCTTGGACCTGTCAATGTATGGAAGAGGCTGGGAAATCCAGATAGGAGGAGCAGTTTCTGGGAGGTGAGCAGTGTCATGGAAGATCACTGACAGAGAGTCATCTAACAGTGGAACTGTTCATAGCACATTACTATGGGAGGCAAAAGGGAACTGATACTGTGAAATACGAGGCAGTTTCCACAGGAGACTGCTTCTAAGAATTTGCTGTTAAGGTAGAGTAATAAGGAGGTTGCCAGTGAGGCAAGTATAATGGCAAATTTCTTTGGGAGGGTACATTATGATAGCAGGGGAGGCTTAAACTAAAATATTTATTGTATGAGCTTGTGTGGTAGGCAATATAAAGGAAGGAATTAGGCAAGTCTCTGTGGAATGAAGATAGAACTGATACTTCCTGGGTTTAGCAGGGAAGCCAAGATGGCACTAGCAGAAGGAATCATAGTAGAAGTTAGGTGCTTGGTAGGAGTGTTTTTCTCTTAGGTTAAAGTTGAGGAAAGGTGATTGGATTTTTGGGCATCATGATGAATACCCAGATGAAGTGCTTTATGAAGGAAGCAAATCTATCTCTTTGTATAGAAGAATTGGATTTATTTAGGGATGAGTAGATGATGACTTGACTGAGCTAACTTACTGGATGCTAGGTGAATTGAATGATACAGCAATCACAATTATAATACTGCAGAGGCCCAGATCAGAAGCTTTCACCTGGGTTTTGAGATTATGATCACCTAGAAAAATGGAATGTTTGTTGTCTTTTCCTTTGGTTTTTTTCCTTTTCTTTTTATTCCTTAAAGTTGGAGGAGTTAGTGGAAATGAATGAGAGAAGCTAAATTATAAAAGAAGAATCTCTCTGGCCAAGTGGTATTATTTCTAGAAAGTCTTAAAAGTTCCAGCAAAAATCCTGAAAGCTGGGGAGGGCAGGGGGGAGAAGAGAGCTAAGTATTAAGCAAGGTCATTATGGACTAACTAAACTAAGTTAATTCTCAAGAAAAACTGTGGAACAAGTAACATAATATTAATTTTCTTAATGACAAATGGGAGTTTGATACCAGTTGACAAAGTTTTGCAGAAGGTGGTCTAGTCAAACAAACCTGGCAGCACTGTTTGAGATCATGACTTTGGTTAACCAAAGGTACATCTGGGATGTTTTCAAGAATATAAGACACATTCTGATTCAAAAACAAACAAACAAAAAATGAAACTGCTTTGTGCTTTGGGCAATTTTTAACAAGAGCCTCTAATGAAGATTTCTCATGAAAAGTGTATTTCTAGGGATGCTGCACAGAGCAGTGCGAGGCTTGATTCATGATCTTCGTTGATGTTATGTCCCTGTAGAATCACTGCTTGTAAAAGTGTGCTTTCTGCAATTAAGGCAGATTATGGCTGCCTTCATAATTCATCAAAGAACAATATTGTGATTAGGTCATTCTACCAGTACAGTTTCTTTTTAAAAATATCAGTACAAATTATCAAGCACTGATAAGAGTACAAAATTACACATTTAGGAATCATGAAATATCTATGGAGTAAGAGCAGTCTTAGAAAGTGGTGATTCTGGTAAGTCACATCTTACCTGGACTTTTGATTCATGTATCCTCCCTTTCCTTTTTTCTTACCCATTCACCCCCTAGAGTACTCCTTTCTTCTGCAAGCTTGTTACGCATCATTGTTAGCCCCCTTTCCACAAGCCGGTTGCTATGAACAGTTGTTTCAGACTTTTCTGTTCCAGATTCTGCTCCCTGCCCCCCACCTCCACCCCC